TTACCACAACACCTAATTTCGAGATCTGTTCCGGGTACCTGCAAATACATAAAGTCCGGTCCGTTAATGTCTAGTTCAAGATGACGCGACATACTTTGATTTGTTAATACTGAGCGTTCATTCATTCAACTTTGGCCAATCTTTCACTATTTCCAAGCATCGTTCTCCTTTAAATTTTGCTTCCTGCAAAGTTGCAATAAATTAAAACTGAATTAGAAGCATATGAGACAATTAGACGTTGTATTTTATTTTCTAGTAATGAAAAGAAGTGGGTCCTGCGGGATACCTAAGTGAATCATTTGACCGATGCTCAAAATATTTCTTATTCTAACCTGTTGCGATCTTTTATTGGCAACTCAGTTTAAGGAACGTGGAGTATCAATCGACATCGTTTCGTCGATAACAAAAAACGGTTTCATTTAATTTCTCCCCTTTAAAATATTTTGCGCAAATCTGAGTAGGTCAAATTTTGCATATGCATAATAGTGGATCACAAATATTTAGATTTGCATAATTGGCAATCCATAAATAATACAAACAATGTAAATTTAAATAATCTGCTCGAATTTGTTGTTTGAAGTTTCGAATTAAAACGCAGGATATACATTTTATAGTTGCTAAAAATAAAATGGGTAAATCAAACTATGATACTATGCTGTTCAAATTCCATTAAAAACATTGTTTCTCAAAAACCAAAACAATTCCTTCCATGATTACATTAGAAACTTGTCTGTTATTAATATTTTTTGTGAATACACATATGCATCAAAAATTATTTACAAATTGCTGATTCCTCCTTCGTTTGTTGTTTATAAATCAAACTTGCTGATGTTTACTAAAGTCCCTATTCCTGAAATCCTCAACCTTTTTTCAGATATATGAAAATCGGAGACTCTGGAACAAAACCTCAACAAACAAACTTCGGACACAGCTATGGGTTCTCCTTGATACCGTCCATCTAAAACCAAGATTATGGAAGTGCTTGTCTTATTTTAGATTTCTTTAGCCTTTTAAACTCTATGCACCCAACATACGAAACTAATAACAATTTCTCATTCTTAGATCGTCTTATCAATAGAAAATCAGACCTAACATTGGGTCATTAGGTTTGCAGAAAACCTAACCACACAGATACTTTAATGCATTGTACAGAGCCGTTAAACTATCTCAACCGGATCCCAGAATTAAAACACACATTACAGATATTAAGCGTTCCATCACCACAACCTTCCAAATGCAACAAGTCCTAAACCAACCCCACACTTGCCAGTGTTGTCATTCCTTGGATTCAAAACATCACTGACCACATATCAAAAGTTTTTAGTAAATATAACATCAAAACCAAATTTACCACTCATTACATCTCTCAACAGCTTGGATACGTTAAAAAAAAGTTTCCGTTTGAGATACCAGGATTTTACAGGGTTCCATGCATATGTGGCAGAGAATACATTGGAGAGACAGGACGAAAAATATCAGCTAGGCTTAAAGATCATAAAAGAGCCTTAAGACTACTACAAATAGGGTCATGAGCAGCTGCCAATTTATTGGAATCTATTCAAATCTATAAGCAACCAAACAATTTTAACCGCGACTTCGGTCTTTAACTTTTACCAATATGGGAATCAGTCATCCGAGATAAAAATATATAAGCAGATGCATAGTAGGATGCGAGTCGGTTTCAGTTGAGCTCTGAAGGAGAAATCCAGAAAATTTGTAAATGGTATGGAAGTTGATTTGAAAAAACCAATAGTAAGTAGCAAATCAGTCATAGATCTCGATATTTTTCACTATTATTAGATTTTCAAATAAAAATAAAATAAAATAAAATGAAATAAAAAATAATAGTTCTTCTCTGCTGCTGCCCTCATATTTTCCCATATCTACTGAATATTAAAACTACCTGCATAATTAAATAAGTTGATCCAATCGTCTGGAAAGTAGCAAAGATTAAACCACTCCCTAAAACACCAAAATGTCAAAAGTCTTCTCTTCTCTAAAATTATGCGAAAATCATGGATGCTCATGTTCGAGAACACCATGAGGAATACTTTCCATACGACGGTCGAGATTTAGGTCATATTTTATTGGACTTTTCAAAAGTATTTGATAATATTAACGACGATTTACGTCTTGCTATTCTAAAGTATATATGAAGAGTTGTTTAGTTATTTGCAAAAATAATGTATGTTGTATGTGTGTTGAAAAAGATATGCATTTTGCATAGCCCAAAAAAACTCGATCTTTTGATGGATGTTGATCTGAGATTCAGACAGTACATCAATTGTAAAGTTTGCTTGGAGGTGGTAGGTAATGCGAAATGCGACGAAATGCTAAGAGATTGTCAAACTCGCATTGTCTTTATTTTATTTCAAATTGCATAATGTTTCGGGCGTTGCATCGCTACCCGCTTTCAAGTATAGACATTAGTCTTCAATGAGTCTACACTTGATACTGGGTGGTATGAACATATCAATCACAACATACGAAAACCCTACGCAGCTAAGGAACTGTTCTATTCGTATAGGCACATTTTCACTATAAATTGATTTCCATTCAGAAAGATCACTGTATAACTTATAAGATTTTGTGACGCACATTAGGTTATTATGGAGCAAAAGAAACAATTTCACTTTTTAATGTTCCTTCATTCCCTCATAACAACAAATTGCCCTCGGTATTTATCGAATAAAATAACCTAGATTGACATTCAGAACTTGAACTTATGTAAACTTATGATTCCTCTGGTTAATTACTCCTTCTCATCGTGAATCAGGTATGTTTGAAAGATGTTTTACCTACTCAGTGTATCGCCTACAGAATAATATCAGTATTCTGTTTTAAACAAAATTAAGGATATATATTTAACCCTTCGGAATACCGATTCCGGTATGTTGAACTAATTATTATGTAATGCCGCCTTTCTGGTCATGACGTTTGTTCTTTTTTATAACTTAACTTAACTACATCTTAATTAAGTGGTTAAGTTTTTAGATAGTTAACTAATTAGATAAATATAAAATCTCCTAGTCAAACAGACTGACACAGATATTGCTTTTAAGTTTCCTCCAGTCACCGTTTTTTCGCATATCATGTTGTTAGGTAATATAGTTAATATTTTAGAGTTGGGAGTAGAAAAAAAATACTCAGAGGCGAACTCACGGCCAGTTAGCTTTACGAATTATATTGTCAAAAGTAACCGTCTGTTGTGCTTCCGAGCTGGGGCAGAAAGAAATACTGCTCGATACGCTATAAATACAGGTTAAGTCGAATAAACGTCAGGTCAAAAACGTTTGCCTTCACTAACTCGCCCGATCGGCAGTTATATTCACAGAACTACAATGTTTCCCTGTCTTGTCGAATTTGCCACTTTCCATCGATATTCCCTTTCGCAAGAAACAATTCCTTCAGATTTCCGAAGTCATTAAACTTAAAGATTGACACACGTTCCGCCATTAAGTTCTACTAACTTTTATCCCTAGGTGAATTCTCAACCGTTCGTGCCTCTTCCGAATCTTTCGTTAACTTCGTCTATTTACTTAAAAATTTAGTTAACGGGAGTTACATCGTTGCCAGATTTTAACGAATACGTTTTTGGATTTAATTTCAAAATGAATTAAGATTCGCATTTCAGATAACTTATTGGTTTCGCTAGTTCCGTTTTAAACTCTTTTAGGTTATTTAAAAAAAAAAAATAATATTGTAATTATTAATTATTATTATAAGCAACGGATATGCGAGAGGTAGATAGAATGAAACGAACACTCCTTAGTTGTGGCTATCACCATCCACAAGCAGAATTAAAGAGCTATACCGAGATCAATGTAATATAAATATAATGCGGATATCTGATATTAAAAATTCAGACTTATCTTTCGACAATCCCTGGTTCTCCTCCGCATCATCTATTAGCGATCTCGCTGGGAGGTTTACAGCCAACCTAAAATATACAAATAAATTACGTTCAAATACTTTTCTTTAAGCGGGATACCTGTTTCATGAATCGCAGGGGACTAATGGCGATTCATGACCAGGTGGTACCGACAAAAGCATACTGAAAACATACGTTAAAAGAAAATGATCTCCGTAAAAAGTGTAGTAGTGACACACTGCAGGCTGTCCGCAACTAGCACCGAGACATAAAAGGTAGAACTGAGGTGGCTTTTACTTGATGAAAATCCATTTATCAAAATAAATAGGAACTAAAAGTTCAGATTTTCACGAAATTATATATTATGACATGGCAATTGTTTCGACAACACCGTGTCTTTATTTTTTACATAAAATGTATTTAAAGAGGCACCGTTAAATAGGGAAAATCTACCATCAAGCAAACAATCATCCTAGAAATATTAATTGAACTTAGGCTAGGCTAGAAAATGCCTAGTTTCCAAGATACGGGGTTAAATATTTTGTTAAAATGACTGTTTAAAAATATGTTAAATATTGTTTTTCCGAGTTTGTCAAACTTTTACGTATTTTTTTATGATTAAGTGTTAATTTTGCTTCGTCTATATCAAAACTCAATAAACTTAGTTCTAAAAATTAACCCTAAAAAATGATCACCGTCAGCTTCATTGCAGAACAACTTGTATAAACCTATCTTTGTGTTTTATTGACGACGTAGGAAACCTTAGTGTTGCCGGTAACTTGCAAAAATAATTTTGTGTAAAATGTGTTTCCGTTTATACTCATTTCACATTTTTTTTAGATTTCGCCTATTATACGCCACACATACTCTCAAAAATCTCGAAGTTAAATGAAAAAGAAAACCCTTACTTTTTATTCTTATGAAATAAATTGAGACCTGCTTTAAATAGTTGTTTGTTTCTAAACGTCTATTTTGCCAAAGACACACGAAAACTTATGCAAACACCGTCATCTCTTTTGACCTTTGGTTAGTTACAAATCACACTGCAAATAATGCTAACGTCCTATGCAGATTAATAATAACATTAGGGAAATTTGCAACTTGTCTGTAACGGATGTGTTTGTTTCAGATGCACCTTGGCAGTTATCTGCCCGCTGGCTGTGCTTTTGGGTTCATTTTCATTCACGTCGCAACTTTCACGACAATATTGCCTTCCTGTCCACCCGAATGCCTTTGTCTATCGCAAACACAGGTAATCTTATTCAGTTGCTCAAAATTGCTGTTCAGTTTATTTCTATTTATTCTAATTTCTACTATTATACACTATCAGCAAATTGTAGCAGTAACAGTAACAGTAGTCGATGTTATTCAAGCTACCGACGTCACACTAGTGACGTCAGGCTGAGTTTAAATTGAATGGCCAAAATAACCAAGTAAAATGACAAATGATGATGACCTCTTTTTTATGATTTTCTATTTCATTATTTTTAATTATGTGATTAGTGTATTTATTATAAATGAGTAATGTATGTGATAATAAAACTCAGGTTGCAGCTGTTAATCTATGGAGTCTTCAAAATATTCTATTCAAACAATTCAATACCACAACCAAAACCCAAAAGGCAGAACGAAGTAAAAAAATATATATTTAGTCTTCAAAAACAAAGCACTATAACATAAATAACCTCAGAAAAATTTGTAAGTGTTAAAAAGCTGGGCTACGAATGGTGTGCCTTAGAAAGACTACGTCTTCTGTTTGAATGTCACTGAGGGCGTAGCTTCTGTACTCGTGGTACTGAGTTCTATTTAGACACGGCAATGTGGAAGTCTGAAGCCCCATGACTCGTTACTCAAGCCAGACCAGAGGGTACACTACTTTCCAGGTTGTTAATCAGGGGAATGCTACATCGTTAAATAGCTGAATGTCTGCTGACTAAGCGCTGATTTGAGAAACATGACCTAGTTAATTAGACTACGTTCTTTTGGATTTTATTACACCAAATGTAATTTGAAACCCTGTTTAAAAGTATTCAATTCATTCAGTATTCATTAAGTTGGCATATGAATTAGATATCAAAAAGCAAAACACAAATTTTATGAGATATTAAAAATCACATTTAATTTAACAAACAACATGTATGGGAGAAAGAGATGCAAAACCTAAAATCGAATCTTACATATTCTTATTCATTGTAGAAAGTTTTAAACCCTCTTAAATTTTGTCCAATCAAAAATTTTAAAATCTTAAAAATTCTTCACTAAAATAATTTCAATTTTGATATTTCAATAGTACAACTTTTCATGTTGGACTTATAAATATTTGCAGTGGTTTTGGTTAGTTGGAAAGTTTATATAAATGAAACAAGCAGATGCATGACAGAGGCCTAATTCTCTGTTGACGAAGGAAAAGTCGATAATAATCGCGACAAACAAAACTAACCATTATCCTAAGCGCTTTTGCTTTATATAAACCATTTTTGCACCAGATTACGGTTTCTCCGACTACTATTCAATGAGCGTTTAATGAAGCAGACCAAAGCTTTTGATATATCAAGGCTGACCAGCGAGTTAAGCCCTCTAACCATAAAAGTGATGCTAGAAAGCTCACAATATTCATTGAAATGATCAAAGTTTGGGTTTTTGTTAATATTCAAAAGAAGCCTGCTAGAAGTGAACCACTCTCGAGCGTTCAGTCATCCAAAGTTTTACATTGTCAATAATCAAGTCAAATAAAGATATACATTATTAATAAAGATGTTAATCAGTACTAGCTTGAAAATAGAACTTTGAATTAGTACTTAATTTATTTCTGTATCGAGAGTTTCCCGTTCCATTGGTCAGAATGTCAGAAATGCTTTTGGTTAGTTAAATAAGAAATATGATAATTACGCAAAGAACTACTTCAAATTATTTATATAATTAGTTAAATGTTCACCAAGATCTTCGAAAATTGTACCAGTTAAAAGGAAAATGTTGTTATTGTTATATTGTGTTACAGTTGGAGCAAGAACAATAATCCCACAATATTTCATTTGTCAATATATTGATGGCACATTGATTCTATTAGAGCCTCACTGCTTTAAAACTGATATTTTAAAAAGTTATATTAAGTTAAATGTGTTTAAATATTTTTTTTAAATAAATTGACACATCCCGAGAAAGGTTTAAAGCGCTGTAATATAATTAAAGCCGTTAAAAAGATCTTTTCCTAGCTAACAGTGGTGCTATGAGGTATGTAATCACAAAAAAATAATAATTGTCTGAAAAAAGAATAAGTGATTAGATACTTTTAATAAAACTTCTGTATTCCTCCTGCATCGGTTTTTCTTGAGTCGAACTAACTAACGTTTCGCCAGGCTGAAGAAGCTGAAGGTGAAACGTTAGCTAGTTCGACTCAGTAGCAATGGAAGTTTCTTTGAAAAATTAAATGATTAGATGTGGGCTTAACCTAACCTTTATCCTAACCTAAAATATGAATAAAGAAACGCTCAAGGGTTGTTATTAATGTTATTACTTTCTCGAATTTTCCAAATAAAACGCTAATTAATTATCAAATCAAAATAAAATATTATTATTTATGTTTTTCACGTTTTTTACAATTCTTTTTGTTTCTATCTGATGAAATTAATGTTCTTCATTGCCCACCGTTTTAATTAGTTAATTATTGGTTAATTTTTTACAATTGATTAGTTTAGGTTAGTTGATTAGACTTAGTTATTAATATAACATTAAATCATAACAGTAGATATTTAAAAACGGCTGACCAAAACTAACCAAAACGTAGATATGTCAGTTATGGGGTAATTTGCTGCCCTTCGAATTTATTGTGGAAAAAGAATAAAGATAAATAAAAACATTTTGTTTTATTTGGTCAATTCGTAATGGCAAAGTAAGCTATCACCATCGTGGCATTCATATCACGATTTGTAGCCTAGGCCATTTGAGGACTCTAAATTTATTAAAATACGTTAAAACTTTTCGAAGATATGGCGTTTCTTTAGGAAAATGTTTGAACACCACCACTTTCCTCCCAGAGATAAAGCAAAGAGCATTAAGCAAAAAGCATTTGAATGTATTCAGCTTTAACTATGGTTTATATCAGAAATTTTTTAGATACTGAGTTTTCATATTCAAGATAACAATAACGCCGCCTATTGGCTATTTTAGAAACTGGAACATAATTTTCAATTTCCAACATTATGAATTGTCCGATTTACTTAATAATTTTTTTTAATTCCTGGAGCCGTCCCTTTCCCCGACATCGTACCTTATTGCCCTTACTGGGACACCCTGTATATCCAATATGAAAAGTAGATCCACACATTTACTTAAATACCTACGCGTCGGTTTGCAATAAAAATTGTATTTCTCTGGAACGAAATCTTATTTTTCATGTCAGTGTTTTAATGCCGATAACAACGGGTAATATACTTCATGTGCTCATGCGATAATGAGTGTAGTAGATTTCCAGCTTTTAGGGTATAATATACATCAGTTTGTGTCGGAAATAATAACGTTCCGCGTGAAAAACATGCTCCTTTATATAAAAAAGCCATAAAAACGGCAAAGTTTATCTTCACTTAGCGGGCTGTAAAAAATTATATGGGATCCCTTTTAGGTCTCTGCGCGTGTATAGGCCGCTGTCGTGAATTTTTAATCGACTTTAAGCCCAAGTTAAATATTTACCGGAATTTTTGATAGGATCCGCGACAGATTTAAATTAGTCCAGACACTGGATGCTTCACTTCATCGCTTTCCCTTTTTCCTGAAAGAGAAACCTTAAATTTGATTTAGGAAACCGACCTTTTGGTTTGAGTTTATAACAATGTTTCTCACTTTTTCTAAATTCACTGCATTCAACTGAACACTGATCTAATATCTATTTTTGAGAAGATGACACATTACCAATTCGTAGAAGAGTGAATTTTTCATACTTATATACTTATTTTTTATATATTATTCAATTACTTCACTCGCTAAACTAACTCGGTCAGATATGCTTTAGACTAATTTTAATTTTTTTACACTATTTCAATGCCGAGCAGAAAAAGCGGAAGATAAAATTGACGCTAAACCCAATAAAATCTAAGCTCGTATATCTTTTAGTTGTTATATCATTTAAACGATTCGTATAAGTACAAGTATTTAAGGGATAATCAAAATACATTGTTAAATAATTCCCGCAAAGGAAGATTAAATCTGGCAAATAAGACTGGATAAGGAGGAAGTGTGAAAAAGTGGAAAAATGTGAGCGGAGATATGACAACTTTAATTTAAATGAGAAACTGAGGAATGACCGGAATGAAGAAACATATAAAGAGAAGAATATAGAAGTATATATGACACTCTATTGAGAACTTCCGACGGCCGTATTATATCGGATATTAAGCGACAACTGATTTGAAAGAATCATATACTGAACCGGAGTTATTTTAAGACAGGCTCTCGTATACATTTGTAAAATTACCTAGGAAACAGAATGGTACACAGTGTTCCGATCATAGAACAATAGCCCTTACATGTCATACTTTTGAAGGAATCGAAAGAATCAAGACGTTTACGCTTGCTTTGTTCGTTTCGAAAAGTCGTTTGAAATGGTATATCATCGGAAACTTATAGAAATACTACAAGACAAGAACATTGATAGACGGAATATCAGAATTATAGCAAATCTTTACTGGAATCAAACAGCAAAACCTATAATTAAAGATCAGCTCACAGATAAAGCAGAAATTTTGCAGGGCGTACGTCAAGCTGGTATTCTATCTCCGTTGCTCTTTAATTTATGTACTGAGGCGATTTTCAATGAAATTATGGATTTACGCCAGGATTGTGTGACCATTAAACAGCGTACGTCATGCTGGTGACACCATCATAATTACAGACAAGCTTGAAGATCTGCAACCTCTTCTGCAACGATTAAGTGATACGTGTAAAGGATATGAATTAGACGCAAACTAAATATAAGTATTTAGGAACATGGAACATTTTGCGTTAAGGATAAGAATGATTTGATGTTATGTTTCTTCAACAGGTTCGGAGTTGTCTGTTAATATTGAGAATCTCATGGACTGACATGGTTTCCAACTCAGAACTGCGCCAAAGAATTCAGAAACAGAAAGAACTAATTAACACTCCAAAGAGAAGAATACTTCACCCACGTAATCAGGGGACCCAAATATGCTATGCTCCAGAACATTATGGAAGTAAAGATCAGGCAGGAGTCAAGGGAGGAGAAGAACCTCTTAGCTC